CCCGGCACGCACTTCGCGCACACACACCAGTATTTGATGTTCGTACATACATAATATATTATCGTTATTTATACAACATATTATATTACTCTATATTATCGTCGTTACAACCCAGTACTAATAATACTCATACCTACTCCTGCAGTGTATAATATTATTATGAATATGCAAACACAGTTAGATTTCGACTCAAGACATAGCGTGCGCAACGCTTGGCAATATGGATCAAGGCGAAAGGGCCGGAATGGAACGTATTTTACGTATTTTGTACGCCATAATATTATTATAGGCAGTATGAGGGGCACACCGCGAGCGCATTTAATGTAATATTATATAATATTATAATACAACTTCGTCTCTGTCGCGCGTGGATTCAAGCCGTCGCTGTGATTTATTATGTTTTAATAACGACCCGACGTAAAACACGGTTCTCCGATGACCCGATTGAACCCGTGCCAACGGTGTGCGCGTTATATGTACCGTCAAAGAGCATATGTTTTGCAAAAACTGGACAGACAGGTAGACGCCAACAGCGATGCCGACGCCGACGCCGCCGCCACGTTACGAATGTTACGATTCCCGCCACCGCGCACTCTTCAGTCATCAATATCAGGTACCCCGTCGTCTTCGTCGTCTACCGGTATACCTACATCGTATTATTATTATATTTGTATCATGATGTACTGATATACATAATAATACGATATCGTATTAATTTCACGATGTCATAACCGTTTATAAACAGTCCATACATTTTTCCGGTTTATGATATTATAGTATTTTTTATTCAGTATACTATTATAGCAGTATAGCATGTATCGCTGTTGGAACTTAACGCTGGCTCGTTACTTTGTTTTAGGACCACGCTCTCAAAAAGTAATACGGATATAATCTGCTCTTGCACAACACGCACACACCAAACACCGCACCAAATGGTCAGAATTCCGATAAGATTCCGGTCGAAAAACGTAACCTAACCCGGAATTAATTTACCCGGTTTAATAAGTATAATCTATAATAGGATAATAGTACTCTTATAAACGCTCTACATAGAAAGTAAAATTTACTAGTTTTAAATTTACTACTGATTTTTATACCTATACTCTAAAGTTAGAATAAATGATACAATTTTCACAATTTTTAATTCATTATAAAAATTAATGTAGAAAATTTAGTCAACACTCCATTTAAAAAGAAGAATCGAAAGAAATATTTAAGTTCAATAAATAATTCCACAACCGTAAAAATTTGTGTAGGATACAAGATATCCATTTGTTTTTATTTATTACTAAATTAATATTTGAGGAGGCCCAGTTAATCTAGAAATTGGCATTTGGTTAATACAATTTTCTAATTTATCACTTGGCTTTCACCAACAATCGGGCTAATGTAATAAAAATAAAATTAAAATGTACGTATTACATGTGTATCATCTTGTTTTACCATTTTCTCATTCACCATATAATACACGGTAACCGGTTAAACTGGTCGTAGAGAGAAGTTAGATACATTTAAAAAAAAATTTTGGGAAAATGACTAATGACCCCGGCAGCAGAGGTATCAAAACGAGATGTAATTTATTAAATTTGTATCATTACAATTTATTGTATTGCGTGTTAGCCACACATCAAATATTTAATACAACATATTATTTAGTTTGATAATGATTTCAGCCTATATTATTATTATTAATAGGTAAGTAAGTTCAATAGTTCAAAATAATTTAATACCGTTTGATTTATCAATTATTATTATTGATTATCTATATAACTGGTAATATTATATCGTATATTATACTACACTTAGAATCGCAATAATCTTCATTTTTTACATTCCATATACCTATGGAAAAATTTGTATGTTTACTTGCTACTGTAGTAAAAGAAAAATAATAGTAAACACAGCAAGAATTTTTTCTTTAAACATAAGTCACTATGAATATCTAAAACCTGAAATTAAAGACCAAAAAAATTTCCTTGGGGCATTATAAATTAAATTTAAAAAAAAAAACAACATTTATGAAAAAAATTTACAATTTATCAAACAAAACCTTCATAGCTATACCTAACAACTATATTTATGGGTTTCTTATTAAGCCAATAATGATTTTTCATACATCCATATGAATAACAAAAGAGAGTCAAACTGTTGATTTAAAAGTTCAGTTGATGTAAGATAATTAAGGAAATAATTCATGCCCGGTGGGCGTACTTTAATTAACACAGGTGGCATTTAAAACTAGAAGGGAACAATGATCAACAAGCTAATAGTGAAAGGTTAAATATATTTAATTTTTAAAAGTGTTTTTGAAATGAATTTTCGAAATCATAAACGTATTCATTGGATTTGACAAATTGTTAATAGCTTCTACATAACCATGCGATTACTATCATTCCATAAAAATTAAATAATATAACAATACATATGTACATATTATGTTGGTATATACATGATGATAATTAAATTTACACGCATACCTATTATACTATAAATACACAGATTCGAGTAGTTTATTCAACTAATATTATACTCTAATTTATATTCTAGTTACGTAATCGTATTAGTTAAAATCCAAATTCCAAATAATCTATCAAGGCATATATATTTTACACTAAAATAACAAACAAACAAAATCGTTTTTAAAAGCTATTCATTGAACAACTATTATTATTTATTACGGATAATTAGGTCCAGGTAGTTGATATACAATAACACAGTGCTTACACTGATCGAATGCTTAAAAAAAATAAATCCCTTAGCGATTCTAGTGAAATGAATAAAATATCATGGGTTTTGCGCCGACAAAAAAATGCCCTACGTCTTTGGCTAAAAGGTTCTAAAATGATCGCTGGTTTGTTATCCAATGAAATGATGAAACTTGCAACCATATGGCTTTGCACAAATCATTAAAATATTCTATAGAATGGATCAGCCGTTATATTAGTACGTCACTTAATAGTAACACACAGTTACCGTGTGTCAAATGAATATCTGTTTTCAGAAACCAGTTGAGTTAAAGGATTATGCCACTACATCATTGTGATTTGTGATTATAAAAAAATATGTTTAAAATTTATTTTCAATTTTATCTTCGTGTTTGTATGGCTTATGTTTTAGTACGACTTTGACTGGTATTTTAAACTTTACATCATATTACCGTTAAATATACACTAGAAATTACTGTAGTATTCTTTTATAGATGAGAAAAACGAGTAAAGTATTTATGGTTTATGTGTACGCTTGTAATATTTCTTGTTTTAATTTATATATATATATATATATATATATATATATATCATCGGAACTTGTAAATAATATTTATTGGAACGTAGTGTTAAAATAAAAATACGAACGCCACTAAATGAAACATAAAATAAATTGTTAAAAAAATAAACTAAACCAGTTAATAAAATGAATATAGGTAGTATTTATTTATAAATAGGATGTTTCATCATTATACGTTTAATCAGTAAATCTTTAAACTAAGACTTGTAGTTTTGAGTAAAAAGTTATCAATTATCAATAAAAAATTTATAATTTATAATAAACTTATTGGTTTAGTTACCTTAATTTTATTTGTTCAATATTAACAATAAATTCACTTCGACAGACATAAAAACTTGAAACAACATAGAATTTTAAATCCAAAAAACATTATATACTTAAACTTCTTTTTGATAAACTAATGTATTAGTATATATATAATATATATATATGTGTGTGTGTGTGTGTGTGTGTGTGTATAAATATGAATTCTGTTTTGCTGATAAAAAAAATAAAATATTTACTGTGTTACTTTGACCATAATAATTGATTAAGAAAATGCATAAAATATGTCAGAAATATTAAAATTTTCTGTATAGGTATAATTTTTTATTATATAAATTAAAATAATAAAACATTGTATTTAATTTATATAAATAAAATTAAATAAACTAAATCTCTATTATTTTTTTATTTATAAAAATGACTTTATAATATACTGAAGATTATTATATATAATATAATGAAGTTTAAATATACCTATGTATTTATCAATTACATTTTAGTTATTACTTATTATAGTTTATTATCAAATTATGATTTATGAATTAACTACTATATACCTCTAACGTCAACATTTCATTATAAATTTAATATAACCTGATATTACTTCAAATGTTTTTAATTTTATAAGCTATACTGTATAATATACGTCTTTGGTATGTATGAGCTGAATAGTATAAAAACATTGAAGGAAATTTCAAAGTTATACGATTCATTTGAAAAGTTTCAAAAAACAAACAATAATATGTTTATAATCTTAGTACCTACGTAAAATCAAAATTATGACATGTGCACAGTGCACACATTATTCGGATATCGTAACTTTTGCGAAATGTACATGCGTTGCGCCAATATAGTAGCAATATACAAGTATATATTGTCCACATTACTCGATACTATAGAGCAGTGATCTTCAAACTATGGGTCGTGACCCAATTTTTTGTCACGTAACTTTAAGATTGGGTCTATAAGATTGATTTTTTTTTAAATTTAAAAAAATCCCTATTTATTTATATTATATTATATTATGTATGACACATAAAAAAATAAAATATTACTTATTAAGAATTAAGCAATAGAGTATAAACATTAAGCAATTTGAACCTTTTTTTGGTTAATAAAACTGACATGGATCCCAAAAAATGTAATGATAAGAAAATTGGATCACGAGTCAAAATGTTTGAAGACCACTGCTATAGAGTATAAACGCAAAATAGGTCATTATATTGTTTAGTCTATAATACTAGGGAATATTTTTGTATAGAACAATAATTCAGGACTCTTATAGTTTTATCCTAAATATTGTACAGACATTTTTTTTTTAACACAAATACTTGTGAGCGAGTGTGTGTACGCGCGTTAAAGTTTCTAATCGCGACTCAACAGACTAGTGTCGCATAGTGAACACTATTAATAATTATAACCTATATGTTATTGAAACATAACTGACTCACCTGGCTCTGAGTCGTTCAGATCTCGTCTGATTCCGGGAGGCAGTATGGTTAGAAGCCGAGCTGCTGGTCGAAAACGACGTAAACCCGGCAGCAGCAGCTGCGGCGGCGTTGGCAGCCGACGCTACAGCCGCGGTCGACGTGGACGTGGTGGTCGTTGTGGTCGTCATCGTCGGCAACGACGCCACCGACGCTGGGAAAACGACTCCGCCGGCTAAAGTTCTATTGGCGGCCGAGCCGCCGGCGACTACACCACCGGACCGGACGTGCACAGTCACCGGTAACGGACCGGAAGTACGAACCGCCCTGTAACCAGACGCGGCCGGAACGACAGTCAGCAACGAACATGCGGCAGTGAACAGCAGTGCCGTGGTCATCGCGTTCATCGTCGTCGTCGGTAGTGTTTGCGGTATTAATGATGGTATTGCAGGGACAGTTGGTGGCGATCACCCAGAGTCCTAGGCGGATGCGTCGCCTGACGCATACATGTTGATAAAAAACCACGCGAAAAAATGCAAACCGATTATAACCCGGGCGACGAATACGAGGAAATAATAATTTTTCGAAACGGGATACTGACGGGGAAAAAAAAAAACTCGAATTCCCGCTGGCCGAGTAAAACGACGACGACGAGCGAATTGAACGACAATCACGAAAAACGAACGAAACTCGAAAAATTCCAAAAACCTAATTTTTATTTGTTAATATTTGTCAATATCGCGTAGATGTAATACTTTATAATAATATTTTATTCACAGTCGCGTATCATTATCTTATTACAGCACTATACGTTATCGGCGCACGATAACACGCGGCGGCGGATCGATGATAAGTGGCCGGTGTGCGTTTGTTCGCGAGCGTGCAGTGTTATTGGTGTATGTATGTGCGTGTATGTGTGTGGACTTGCAATGTGTGTGCGCGCGCGCGCGTGTGTATATGTGTGTGTGTGTGTGTGTGTGTGTGTGTGTGTGTGCGGTCGTGTATTTTTTGCGTGCATGTGGATATTGTGTATGACGATTGTCCGGCGTGCGACTGACGGGTGCCCTCACGCGCGGACCGCACGCACACACGCGCCCGGGCCGCCGACTATAAGCGCGCCGCCAGTGGATACGGTTTTACTTTCACTGTGCGTCAAATATTATCGTGGTGGTGTGTGTGTGTGTGTGTGTGTGTGTGTGTGTGTGTGTGTGTGTGTGTGTGTGTGTGTGTGTGTGTGTGTGTGTGTGTGTGTGTGTGTGTGTGTGTGTGTGTGTGTGTGTGTGTGTG